AGTGCAGCGCCTGGAGCAAGGTGGTCTGGGTTCCTCAAGCATGGAGAGGAACTGTTTCTCTGATTTACCACAGGCTGTTCAGTGGGAAGGAAGAAGGATGAGCAATAGGGACCAAAAATTGGGTCCCTTCCCTGACTGCACTTCACCTGCAGCCTGGGCTAGGGAAACCTTGGGCTCAGGGACTGCTCCAGGAGGAGCCACAGCTCCCTGTGTGCTTGGTAGGAGCCTGGTGTAGACCATAAGTGCTCTCCTAAAAAAGATGCTTCTAGTTGGCCTCGTCCCTGGAAGGAATTTGTAGCTGGATCATGTTCTTAGTGGGAAAAGTCTTGAGCTGATGAGCTGCTGCAAAAGAAGAACAAGTGAACAGAACTGTAGAGGTTTTAGCTGTGCTTTACAAGAAGGTGATGTGCAGCTTGACCTGCACAAAGCCTCATCCTGTGGGTTCTTCTCATTCTGATCTGAGAAGCTCTGTGGGCTCATCTTCCCTCAGGGCCAAAGGTGGAGAAACATGTGAAACATCTGAATGAAACATCTGAACCCCAGTAAGCATAGTGCCCAGCTGTTCCAGACTGTGGAACTGTGGCACTTTGGGGCCCACAGGATCCCAAACTGCAAGCCCTGTGAGGGGTAGATAACTCAAAAGACCTGAGGACAAGTTCTTCTGCCCTTAAGTCCCACCAAAGTGTCCACGTTGGAGCTCACATTGTGTTTTGGATCTGATCAGCAGGCTCTGACCTAATACCAGGTTTTACTAAACAGTTTATTCTTGTTTTGGAACCTGCTGTAGAACACATTTCAGGTGAAATGGACTCCTTGCTCCAGCCAGGACATGGTGACAGTTACCTCCCTTCACAACAAGGCCATGTGTACATGGCAGCCAGCCAGCTGCTCCTGATGGATTCAGAATGCCAAGAAAACTTGGCCTCTAATGAGCTGTCTAATTAACTCCTAGACTTGTGATGTACAGCTTAGTTTTACTAAGCCATTCCTTTGCCAAAACTTAACATCTCTTGCCTCCTGCATAGCAAATGCATTTCCTTGTCATTCTTCTGTTTTGAAACTACTGTAAAGCAGATCAAGTGCCACGCTGCTTTTCTTCTTTAGAAATATAAAAAAACATTCTTTAACTCTTCTGCCACTGTTTCAAGGCAATTGAACATCCAGATCTGAGTAGCTGATTTACTTTCTAGTAGAAGCAAAAAACCCCAGAGTGAAATAATTATTGGAAACTGATTTTATGTATCACGAGTCCCCTCCTGCCTTGTGCTTTAGCTGGAGTATGAAAAGTTGAGGCTACCCACACGGATTTTTTTAAGATTGCATCATTCCATTGAAGCCTGTTTTTAACAAAAAGTTAAAATATTTTCCAGGGAAGTAAAACCTACTGTACTCCGAGAAAGTTTACTTCATGGAAGTAATAGACTGCTTTCCAGGACTGCCCAGGAAAGCAAAAATCAAATATAGCTATTGATTCTGGTAGTGAATAATCCATATCCAGTGTTTGATGGCTAAGCAGGCTTGATTTTCAGTAACATCACTTGCTGTCAAGATGTTTGGACACTGGTATTGGTGAATTGACCCAAAAGCAAACTTTTCAAAATATTTGTCTCAGAGATGCTACTTGATAGGCTGCAGTTCTAGGAACAGAAATATATTCCAGTTCAAATCGTACAGACACAGGAGAAGTAAAGAAGTGAACGAGATAATGACAACATAGAGGAGCTCTCAGTAATTTGCCTAAATGATTATTGATATTGTCAGCCTTAGCTGCATATGAGCATCCTCAGGCAGCCACTGAGGGCTGGAATTGGCAGGGAAAACCAGGATGCTCAATCCATGCTCTGCCCAAAGCACAGCCATGGCATGCCCCGCTCTGGCAGCAGATGGGCAACCCACAGACATCTTCATAACAGCTTCTGACAAAAGCTGATGCCAGAAAATATTTCCTGTCCATGTTTCCAGAATCCTTTACAAGCTCCTCTGCTGCTTCCCAGCTGGGATTTGGCAGTGGCTGCAGGACTCCCACACCGACTGCTGGGGGGCCACAGGGAGGTGCCCACGGGGCTACTGAGGGAGCAGGGCTCTGCTGGAGCACTGCCACCACTTTCTGACCCAGGGTGGGCACCTTTCTCCTTGCTGGGGAGGGCTGGTCCCACGTCATCTGAGGACACCTGTTTGCCATCTGTCTGTGGGGAATTGGAGGAGCTAGGTAATTGGCATATCAGCAGTTTGCAGAATCATGTCTTTCCTGCTGTGGGATTTTCTAGGACCAGCCCTGATATTTAGGGAGGACACTGTAATGCAATCCTGAGCACAGATTTTGAAATGCTGAGGTGAGATTATCCTAACATCTCTGCCCTAAAATTTCATGCTTCACGCATCCCATCAGAATAAGCTCTGTGGAAGTTTACAAGATTGCCTGCTTAGAAAAATATATATTTTTTTAGTTATATTTGAGTCATCAAACCTGGTGAATCATTGTGAATGAAGTCTGGCTGTGGCTATAGGTGTAAATTCACAGTGTAGCTGCTTCTTGTGTGCAAATGGGAGTAAATCCTGAGTGGCATGAGGCATCTGGGTGCTGATACCATTGTGCCACACTGGGAGCAGCACTGATGACAATACCTATGTAATAATGACACCCAAATACAAGAAAAGACTGAGTGACATAGAACCTGCATGCAGACACAAAGCCTGAATTAATGCAGTTTATACTGTTTTGGCACTCTCAACCTGTCCAGCCCTCCTCCAGTAAGCTGCTTTCTGTCTGATTTATGTGCTTTTTGGTACTTGTGTAAGAGTTTCAGTTCAGCTGCTTGTGTGGATTCAGGTCCCATTGCTCCATCACAGAATGACAGGATCAGTCATGTTGGTAATTATTAAATATTAAGCCCCGAATGTTTCGGGGTGTGTCCTGCCTGGCTTCGTCTGGCCTCGCTGCTGGACCAAAGGCGGCAGCTGTGGCGTTTTTCACCCCAGAGATGCCTTTGGCTGGCTGGGTGCTGCAGCTGGGCTCTCAGAACAAGTCCAGGCAAAATAGGAACTCAGTTTACCTTTGGTGGAAAAGGTTCAGACGACGGTGAAAAGGAGCGGGTTCTGCCGTGTAGCTTAGATCCAGAGTTTATTGTAGCATGGTAGATTTCTGAATCTGGCAACAGCTCCAGACAGACAGACAGAGACCGAACAGAACCACGGCAGAGACAGAACCATGACAGAGACCCCGACCGCATGGTCTCGTGTCCTTTTTAAGCCCCAAGGACAGGGGGAGGGGACGGACAGGTGAGGGCCAACCAGGTGTGAGCAGGGGAAGGCTCAGGGGATGTGGACTATGGGACAAACCAATGAGCCCAGGCCTGGGGGGCATCTGCCAATCACACGACGCCTTGCTGGAAGGTGCCAGGCAGGAGGGCACAGGGGGAGGGGGAAAGGTTGGCATCCTTGAGGGGGATGGCATAGGTGAGACAGGAAATGGCGACACACTGCAACAGGAAATGACCTCTGAGATCATTGAGTCCAAGCACCTTGAGACCATGGCACTGAGTGCCACATCCAGCCTTTCCTTAAACACCTCCAGGGATGGGGACTCCACCACGTCTCTGGGCAGCCCCTTCCAATATCTAATCACCCTCTCTGTGAGGAAATTCTTCCTAAATGTCCAACCTAAACATCGAGCTTAGGACAGTGTCTTCTTGTCCCACTTTTCTGGAAGCCAGAACTGAGCCTGAAATTTCTCCTCCATATATGTAATACTGCTTTGTATTTTTAGCTTTAGCAAAGGAAAAAATTCCTTTGTTTGGCAAAAAACCTCTTTTTTCTTTTTTTCTTTTTAATTCGGTGTTTGTTAAGAGATACTCTGTCACAGTATCTGTGCACTTAGGTGTGGTTTTCTTTGACTTCAGTGGGATTTGAATCCTGTGCTTTTCCAGGTTTTGCCTAACCTGTCATAATCAGTGAACACTGCTGCTCTGAAGCCTCCTATAAGGTGTCTGTTATTCAGGTGGATTAATTATGAAAGGCTTCATAAAAGGAAGTCCTTGTAGAGAGAGATCTGAAGGGAAGAAGAGAATCTTGAAAATGAAGGGAGAAAAGTGCTCTTTGATCATTTTGATAATAACATTTGTCATGCCTTGAAAATGACAATTTCGTTCAACCACAATGAAATGTTGAAGTGTTCCAAATAGCATGGCCCCTGCTTCTCCTTCTCATCCAAAAAATGTGTATATATGCACATGCACACTAATATTCTTCCCTCTGCTTCAGCAGAAGCATGGAGAAATTGCTGCTGGTGATAAAAACACAATGTCTGACCAAAGTTGAAAGACAAAACCTGATGCTGCCTGGGTGGTTTTCAGAGATATCCCATATCTACATGTGGGAGGAGTGATTAAGTTGTTGGGATTTTGCACTTTCTCTGACTCTCAGCAGTCTCTGAGAATTGCTTAATACTTGGTATATTATTGGGTGAGACAGTAGTAATTGTACTGCTTGGCAGATGTGGAATGAGGTTTCACATGTAGCAATCTCATTTCTGTTAAATGAGAATATAGGATTGGCTTCTGAAAAGCAAGGTGATCTTTGCTTCAAGGACTGATCAGTAAGCTGAAGCTTTCTCTGGGCTTTGGTTTACTTTCTGTAAATAAAGAGAATTTTCTGGCTTTATTGTCAATGAGGAAATGCTTCCACAGCGTATTTTCAGCACCCACCTCAATGCAAGTGTGAGCATCGCAGAAATACGAATTTACAAATTTAACTTAACAACAATTAGCTGCAGAATGTATCCAAAACCTGTTAAAGTCCATGGAAATACTCCCACTGACCCTACCAGGGATTGCCTTGCTGTGCATTTAACATCTTTAGCTGGAACTTTGCACTGGTATTTTCATCTGGGACCTGCCATTGGCAAAGGCACCTTTAACCGGTTATTACCGCTGGGTGTAAAAATTCATTGTAACGATTTTTTTCCCCTTTTTTTTGATTTTTCTTTTTCCCTTCCTGGGCAGGATTTATGTGGGCATCATTCCTGTGATACCCTGGGAATGGCAGACGTTGGGACCATCTGCTCCCCCGAGCGCAGCTGCGCGGTGATTGAAGACGACGGCCTCCACGCAGCTTTTACGGTGGCTCACGAAATTGGTATGCAGTGCCTTTTCTGTTCCCCTGCCAAGCCAAACACTCCCAACAGCTGCATTAGGAACCAAAATACCCCGCAATTAATTCCAGATTTCCCCCAACCCAGAGCCCCGCCTGGGGATTAGGGCTGTGTACATATGCACTTCAGGGTTAACTAATAAGGGATCAGAAGGCAGGGGAAGGCGCACAGTAGGTGTTTCCTCCCTGACAGTGGCCTTTCTAAGCAGCAGTCGAAGTGAAAATTCAAAAGCTGCTGCTACTGCCCAGAGATGTCAGTGCATGGCCCTCCTGAGAAAGCTTTTGGCCCATCTGTTGTAATTTGCATGCACTTATTTATTGGAAAATAAGTCACATTTCTCAACTTGTTGCATGCGCTGTTGTTAGGAAGCTTTTTTCCCTGTATTACCTGCAGAGAAAAGCTTTTGTGGCAAAAACCCAACATAATTCCAGTATCTTTCTAAGTGTACAGAAATTCGTTATAAATCCTGTAATAAGTGAAATAGTATTTAGGTGATAAAGGTTTGGTCACAAAACCTGTTTAGCTTTGTTTCAGTTTCCACCTCAGAGGACTGCAATTAAATTAGAAGTCTCTCGTGTACCCTTCAGAAGGGTTTAAGATAGAATAAGTGCCAGAAGAAAGTTAGTTGTTCTGGGATATGAGTTATTCCCTATTATGTCATGATATAACCCTTCAAGGGAGATGCTGCCATCTTGATCATGTTTAATTTTCTGATGTTTTGTGAACTGTGTTCACTGGAACATTCGCTATAAGGGCTGTTCACCTTGGGGAGTGAATGGCAATTTGAAAGTGGAGAATGTTCTTTTTTTCCTTTTTTTTTTTAAATATTCTTGGAAGGAAATAACAAGGAAAGGAGAACTTTCAGAGAGAGCCAGCTGCTGAATTGCCTTGTACCTCGTGCCAAACCAAAGTAAAGTTTGCTTTGTGAGTATCATTGCAGTGGTTCCATTTTCAAGGAGCTTGCAGGTAGAGCCTGAGATCTGGGTGCCTTATACATATGGCTGAGAAAACAGAGCTCACCAAGGATGGAAGATGACCTGACTCTTCAGTGACAAGTGATCCTAACCCTGTTCCTCTTATGGCTCTGCAAAGGAATTGCATCAGTGGTGGCTGGAGAAGGGATCAGGCATTGCATGAAAACATGAAATACTGTGGCAGGATGAGTCCCCAAAGCAGAAATTTTATTTCAGTAAGCAATAATGTCACGACAAAAGAAAAAGTCCTCTGGAATCACTAATTCAGGGCATTTAGAGAGAGCTACAGCAGTATAGAAAGACAGATTCACATGGGATGTGGATGCTGTGAGTGAGCCATCACAAATCTGGGCTGGATAAAATGGCAAACTTAGCCTGTCATTCACAGTCAGAGTGCTGGGGACACTGCTTGTGTCCCTTGCACCCAGAAGGGATGTGTCTGCTGAGGGTCATGGATAGGGTTGGGTGAGGAGCCCTCTTGTTGATGGATCTGGTGTGTGAAGAGGAGAGCATTGTCTTTCCTGCCATTTTATCAGCAATAAATATACTTTTAGGTAGACTAAAAATGAAAGAACATAGATCAGTAAAGAAAGGGATGTGCAGCAAGCGTTCACATTGTTACCTTGAATTCCACACTGAGAAAGTATAAGCAAAAGTGAATTATTTTTAGTGATCTAGAAGCACATTTTGGAGAAAGGCCATTTACATACCTAGGCATTTACAGGAATCTCTAAAAACTATAATTTTCAATGTAAAAAAGGCATGAATTGAAATGAATAAATAAGAACCCTAATGGATATAAAACCTCTAGTTTGAGGCTGTTTAAAATAACATCCTCTTTTTTTTTTCCTCCTCACCAGAAGTTTTTAAGAAAGGAGGGGTGTCAAGTCACAGAATGATCTTTGTGTGTGTGGCCTGAAGTGGGAGAAGCTGAGAAGAAAACACAACTAAAATTGCTTGAGTACTTAAATTAAATCAAAGGTCAAAAAAGGATGAAAAATAAAAGTGTGGCATGGATACCCTTTAGTTAAGCACTTTGGGGAAACCTTGCTCTATTTTATTTGGAGACCAGATTTCTTCCTGCAATCCAGAAATCTCCAAGTTCCCCCTGTCCTGTGGGCAGGGTGTAACTTTAATTTTACAGTGGCTCAGTTCCTCAGTCAGAGGGGTTGCTCTGAGCCTGAAATGTTCTTTTCTGTCAATTGGAAGGTCAAGGTGAGCCACTGGCTGAAGCAGAGTCACTCTCAGGGGTTTTTGTGCATGGGGAGCAGATGCAGCATCTTTAGCATGGACTTGATCCTCAGAGTGTCCTCACTGTGACTTCCAGGGGATCTGGACGCTCCTTCTTCCCCTCTGAAGGATCCAAGTGCTTTTTCCAGGCTCAGATTCTTTCTCTGGAAGGCAACCAAAGCAAATTGAACTGCAGCTCAACCCGACAGGAGGATGCACAGCCCAGGGGCTCAGGTTGGATTGGTGCACAGAAAGCCAAAAAACAGCTTTGCTGCAGAGCAAACCTGCTGCTTCTGCTGCCAGGGTTTCTGCCACATCACGTGGGAGATGTTTGTTTTATTTCTTCCAGATAAAATAGATGGATTTTGACCAGTGTTTTTTGAGGGGGAGTGAATGAATGAGCAGCAACAGGAAAAACCTCCACAGGCCTGTAAAGGAGAGCACAAGAATGAATAGATGCAAATTCTTGGTATAAATGATTAGCTGTCAATAAGAGGTGGAGATCTTTATATAAAAGTGTGATAAGGTAGGACCTAAATCTTGTCCTTCTTGTATGTAGGAAAATCAGTAATAGCTTGTCTTCAATGTCAAATGGAAAAAAAAGAGGACAATACAACAAAAAACTGGAAAGAAACCGTGTAACTTTGAATGTGGTAATCCAGTTTCCCCTCAGAATACAGGGGAGCAGTGGTAATACCATAAATGTTACTTTGAAATCATAGCCTGCCAAGACATCCAGCCACCAACAGCAAATCCATATCTGGTTATTTTCTAGCAGGGTGCATGCTGCTGTCAACAGGACAGCAGTAGGCTCGTTTTCTCAAAAATAACCCCCTGGATTCTTGCCTGGAGTCATCACCCTGCTGTGGCATATGGATGCTTTTTTTTACTTCTAGCAACTCCTTCAACTACACCTCCAGAGCTCTGCAGAGCTGTCTGAGCTTAGGCACAGTATGTAGGCATTCTCCAAGCCTTTATTATCAGCAGCCTATTGTCTAAAAAAAAGATGTTTCCTTGCTTCATGCACTTCCCTGCCTCTTGGGGACATGTGGAGGAGAGCAGTAAAGAACCTGAGATTGCTCATAATCTCAACAGTTATTTAATGTTTTTCATAGGGCAGCACTACATTGCTTCTCCATGTGTCCCTTGTTAAAATAACCATCAGGAAGCAAAACCAATGAGATTGGCACTCTAATACTCTGGACTTTTGGATCAGAGATTTGTTACTTTGACGGTGCTGAAGTATAAACAAGTGAAGATCAGCATGATCCATCATCAGCAACAGGCACAGTCAGTCAGCTGGAATTACATTTGACATATTTTGTGATGGGATGTTGCCATGTTTTACAGCCTGTGCTATGTTTGAGGTACAGTCATGGTCAGAAGTTTGTGCTGGAGTCCCACTGTGCTTTGGCACAGCCTTACCACCACCCTAAACAGTTTGTCATCTACAAAAGCAAAATGAGAAGAGTTCAAGGGGATCTAAGTGGAGCTACTGCTGGTTTTATCTATAGGAAATTTCCCCAAATCACAAAGGGAATCCCAGGGAAAGCCAAGAATTAAACCTGGGTTTTGATCTAGAGTCTCCTGAGTTTTGGTCTGGTCCTTAAGTACAAAAGCATCCTTCCTGCAGCCTTCAAGCAGGCAAAGCTCCAGTTCAGCTCAGTGGGAGTTACATGGGTCTAACATTTTAAATTATATTTATCTTTGTTCTTTCCATCAATCTTAAGAAACTTAATTTTTCAAAAAGAGGCAATCCAGCCTTTTTTTTCTCAGTGGTAATGTTCATTTGACCTTTTGCAATGTTCCTACTCCTCTGTTACACAAACACTCTGGCATGCAGTTACTCCTTCTGTCCTCCTGAGTAATATGGTTTACTGATGTTCTTTCCAAGTATTTTATTTTTAGGCTATAGCTTTAGCATTGCTGTGTGGAACTAATTAAACCTTTGTTCATTAGTTGCCTTTTATCTTTCACATGTGACTTTTGGGGAGGCAAGGCCAAAGGGTGGGATAAAAGCAGCCTTCAAATACGTTTAAAAAATTGCTGCAAAAATTTGCATACTAAATCATTCCCCATGTCCACCTGGGACAGCACAAGGGGTAATGGCCTGAAATTGCAGCAGGGGAGATTTGCTTTAAGCGTTAGCCAAAATCATCTGAGCAGGACAGTTGAGGGCAGGAGTGAAGTGCTTGGGGAGGCTCCGATTCTGGAGGTTCACAGGAGCCATCTGGCTGAAGCAGCTGTGGCTCAGGGGATGCTGATCCTACCCCAGGGCACAGGGATGCATAGGATGCCTTTTCAAGGTCTCTGCTCAGCATCATTTTCTGTGGTTATGAGGAGTTATCACAACATCCTCCACAGCTGGGCTGTGTAATGCCTGAAACCAAGGGGCTGCACAGAAACTAAAGCTCAAAAATCATGGAATGGTTTGGGTTGGAAGGGGCCTTAAAATGATCCAGTTTCACCCCCTGCCATGGGCAGGGACATCTTCCACTATTCCAGGCTGCTTCAAGCTGCCCTTGGACACTTCCAGGGACAGGGCAACCACAGCTTTTCTGTGCCAGGGCCTCACTGCCCTCACAGCCAAGAATTTTCTTCATATATTAAATAATGAGTTTGATACCAAATCTTTTCCAGCATGGCATCATTCTGTGGCCTCTGTCACCACTGAGGACACAAGTGTCATGAGCATTGTCAGCAAAATGTATTAGAGAGCATAATTTTCTGTAAAAAAGGCATTTTAGAAACGAGGTATTGCTCCTGGCATCTCTGCTCAG